CTAGAACAGCTCCTGTCTGCTCACGCTCATCCATCACTTTCTTCTTCTTGTCAATATTCTGAAGTGTTGGATAATGTCTGGGGAGACACATTAAGACCCAAGTTAAACAAGAATCATCATGTTCAGCTGTTTGGAAGTAGACATCATAGGCAAAAGCTATGTATATACAACATTAAAAGATGGATTAACGCAAAAATGTATTTGTGAATACTGACTTGCGCCTCTCCTCTCTCCATTTTGCAATCTCATCTTCTGTGTCCAACTTGATTCTTTTAGCGCCTGGTGCATGGTTCTGCAGTCAGGATAGAAAAAGACTGATTTCAGTAAAGGAAAATACTGAGTTTCAGATAAACAGCCAGGTGTTACACCTACGTTTTTCCAGTGGATGCTGACTACTTTTTCATGAGCCGTGAAGCTGCAGTCAGGAACAGAACACTAGGCAAGAGATGTGATGGAGTTAGTCAGTGAATCGGGAATACTGATTTTCATAAATGACATGTAAGAAAGCAGAATATACTTGATAGATATATCAAATTACCTTTACGTGTTGAGAAACATGTTCATCGTACTTCTCCTGGTTTTTGAAGCTCCGGTCACAAGTGTCACAAAAATGTGAAAACTCTGGCTCTTTCTTATTTTTCTGCTGTGGATTATAGATGGATTAGTTCACAATGTAGAGCAGAATGTATGACAAACACTATTAAGGTCCCGATTACAACAACAATGTTCGAACAGATGGATACCTTTTTCCCATAATTGTTGGGGGCTCCATAATTCTGTCCTCCACCTCGATTTCCTCCATGATGCACTCCACGGTTAAAGTTTTGACCTGAAGACAATACATCAACACCTCAATTTTAATGATGTGACATTCACATGATGGCTCTCAAGTAAATTATGTCATGTTAGCAATTACCCTGATGGCATATGAGAGATGTAATCTAAGTAATCACATATTGGGCTCAGAGATTGCCCGTTCCAAACATTGGCAGAGTAACACTTTAATACTTTCACACAGTGTTTTTAGATATTGGTTTGTCTAAGAAAAGTCATTAGTAATAGGGCCAAGTAGATGCATTAACTCCTCATCATGTAATAATTGAATAGTAAATGCTAGTGACCATGTGGACGTTTTGATCCATAGTCTCCACGGCCAGATGGAGGACCAAAGCCTGCTCCTGTATGCCACCCAGCCTGGCCCCTGGACTCCCAGGTGGGCTCGGGCGTCTCTCCCCAGCTCCACATGCTGGGGTGGAAGCTGCTGGAGCCGGGCTGCTGCTGCTGCTGCTGGAAGGGCTGGATGAAGTCTGGAGGGGGACAACTGAAGTCCGGCGGAGGATAGTGCCTCGGTTCATTCATACTTCACCCCTTAAATCTTTCGTTGCGTCAAGAGTGAATTAAATTGAGTAAATCTGGGTTTCTCACCACGCAGCTCTCACATGTGCATGTTTTGCTATAGACACACGTACGTCACTTCCGCGAGAGCAGGAAGGACATACATTTATAACCACAACAAACAAAATAACAAATATGAGCGATAGCTATCATCCTTAGTGGTTGTTTTGTTAAAATATGCACATGACATACTCTGTTATGCTGTTTTATCTGTGTCAAAAAGCCTAGCTTAAACATTTGAATTCGAAATACCGGTATGTTTGCGAAACTTCTCGCGAGATTAAACACACAACTCAATCTCCTGAGGTTGCCAGGTTGAGGAGAAAACGCATGTGGAATGTATTTATATCATAGATTTATATACATGATGCTAAGAAGCTTTAAGTGAAGTAAACATTCACTGCATAGAGCACCATACGTTGCTTTTTTAAAGACGCAGAAGGAAGTTTAAGAGGTGTTTTAAGTAAGCTGGGATTTATTTTAAATTGTTGATAACATTTAAATGAAATGTAGATTTGCAGCATTAAACCATGCCATTAATGTAAATACATCAAGGTATTTTTTTTCTATCTTTGAAAAACTTAAATGCAAGGAATACTTTCAAAATCATCCGAAATATCGATTAAAAAAAAAGAGAGATCTTTTTCTGATTCGGGGGATACCGTCTGAGCGGAAGTGGCAACACAGCAGTTTTCTCCCTCTCGCCGCGTGTGTTCCTCAGAGTGCAGCAGCGTGGTGACTTCGTGAAGTACCTGGAGGCTCTCAACTAAGAGAGCGCACACATTTTGCTGCCAAAATGCTCGTCTTATTCGAGACCGCCGCTGGATATGCCATATTCAAAGTATGTATTTGACTTCTGTTTAATGTCATTAAAAAAAAACGAGGAATTATTACACATGAGTTAGCATTGGTTAGCTTCACAGCTACTTACCCACAGACTGTGTCGCTTCTTTTCAACTGTAGTTAACGTTAGTGATAGTAAGCTAAATGACAACTATGTTTTAAATTACATTCGACTATATTAATGAGCAAATGTAATGTTTTTGCTTGTACAGGAGTGGTTTAAGTTAAGGCTCAAGCTAATGCACGTTGCCACTCTGCAGGCCTTGTAACCACGTGTGCATGTGGGGACTAGCTTATGTGACTCTCTACTTGTCAATCTTCAAATACATACTAAACATTTACTTATATATGTATGATGTTATAGGATCAGCATTACATATTGAGAGAATAAGACAACTTAGCTAAATACACATTTTCATACCAGTGTTTTTTGTACTTGTGCATCTCTCCTAATCTTTATTAATGCATGATTACTAACTGAGAGTCTCTGTTACATTTCAGGTCCTTGATGAGTCCAAGCTGCAAGAGATCGACAGCTTGTACAAGGAGTTTGATACTCCTGAAAAGGCTAACAAAATGTAAGTGTTGAATGTGCTTCTAACCAAAGCAAGATGTCGCCATGTAATACATTTTGGCTCAAGTAAATTGGATAAATGTCTATAAATTATTTTTTGTTTTTCTCCTGCCAGTGTGAAGCTGAAGCACTTTGAGAAATTTCAGGACACAACAGAGGCCTTAGCAGGTAATTACATATGTTTTACCACTGAGACCACCAAGTTTAATTATCATTTAGAGGAAAATTAGCCCTTTTCATTTCAAACCTTTATTTATCCTTTTAAAAAACAACTAACCTTTGCACCAATATATACTAATTTATCAAATGTACACTGTTGAATTTTGTAGAACTGAAAAGACAGTGGTGATGATGACGACATTTGTCTTATCCTGAAACGCAACATGTGGGTTTTTCAGTCACTACCTCATCTGAACTGTCACTATAGGACTCCTTTAAACTCTTTGCGCACTAAATGTACAAATGAGATTAAACTGATCTATTACACAGTATTCGTCACTTACAAAAATTCCTTTAGGGCATATTAAATTGTCTGTTTCCCTAATTTGGATCAGTTTATGTAGTTGTAGTATTTAATGAAGTATTCTCTACCTCTTCCCTACAGCTGCCACTGCCATGACCGAGGGGAAAATTGGAAAGAGTTTGAAGAAATTGCTGAAGAAGGTTGTTGCAAAGGAAGCTCATGAGCAGCTGGCCATCAGTGATGCAAAACTCGGTGGCGTTATTAAAGTAAGTGACTTAACAATCATCTTTATAAATCGGTAGCTAAGTGGTATTATGGATCTAACATGTTCTATTTCTCAGGAAAAGATGGAACTGGCCTGTATCCACAGCCCTGTAGTGGCTGAACTGATGAGATGCATCAGGAGTCAGATAGAGAGCCTCGTCACTGGACTCCCTCCCAAAGAGATCAGTGCCATGTCTCTGGGATTAGCTCACAGGTAGATTGCACAAAGATACGATGTTGTATAAATAATGTCGTTGCTTCTCAGCATTCGTCACTACCACTGAGGCAGCAATGTCCCTTTGGAAAGATCATAAGCCGCTTACTGTGTGAAATAACAAATGAATGACGCTTCTTGTCTCTGTTTTGCAGTTTATCTCGCTACAAGCTGAAGTTCAGTCCTGACAAGGTGGACACTATGATTGTGCAGGCCATCTGTAAGTTGTATTTTTATACAGTTAATAATATTATACGATGATTGATATTAGTTTTCACTATCAATTCATTTAAAGACTGTTTTCCCAATATATCAGAAATACAATCACAATCAGAGATGTGACTGTTGTGTATTTGAATATGCAGCCTAACGTTTGAGTTTTTCCCCCTCTCTTCAGCTCTGTTGGATGACCTGGATAAGGAGCTGAACAACTACATCATGCGCTGCAGAGAGTGGTACGGCTGGCACTTTCCAGAGGTGGGAAAGATTATCACAGACAACTTGGCCTACTGCAAATTTGTCCGCAAAATCGGTAAGAAAATAATCTGCATTTAAACTCAATAACACATTTCGGTAGATATCCCTTGCATAGTCAAACTTCCCATATTTTAAACTGTTAGTGATATTATTGCAGGCTGTTGGTTATACATTCCTGAGTATCCTAATGTGTCCGTGTATCTGCAGGTGAACGCACAAACGTGGCCGCCTCTGATCTGTCTGACATCCTGCCTGAGGAAATCGAGGCCGAGGTTAAACTGGCTGCAGAGATCTCCATGGGAACAGAAGTGTCAGAACAGGACATTGGCAACATCGGGCACCTGTGTGATCAGGTATGTCGCTTCCTTACCTAGTTTAACCGTTATACCAATATATATATATATATATTTATAAAATGTACACTGTTGAATTTTGGAGAACTGAAGAGACAGTGGTGATGATGATGACATTTGTCTTTTATCCTGAAACGCAACATGTGGGTTTTTCAGTCACTACCTCATCTGAACTGTCACTATAGGACCCCTTTAAACTCTTTCTTTGGTTATGTGCTGGCAGTTCTTATATGAATCCCATCTCCTTTTTTCCATAGGTGATTGATATTTCAGAGTATCGCGCTCAGCTGTACGACTACCTGCAGAACCGCATGATGGCGATCGCCCCCAACCTGACAGTCATGGTGGGAGAGCTGGTGGGCGCACGTCTTATCGCACATGCAGGTGATTCAGAGAGAAGACGCTGTGTGAGAGGCAGCCAAGCTGTGATGATGACGACATATTGTCGATTTACTGATCATGACTGATGTTTTTAAGTCACTACCTCATCTGAGCTTGTGTTAAGAGGCCCAATGAGCAGGTACTGGTGAGCGCATCGTATTTATTTGTTGATGGTTTTTAAGGTTCCCTTCTGAATCTGGCAAAGCATCCGGCCTCCACGGTCCAGATCCTCGGAGCAGAGAAGGCTCTCTTTAGAGCCCTGAAGACTCGCAAGGACACGCCAAAATATGGTCTCATTTACCACGCCTCCCTAGTGGGTCAGACCACTGCCAAGAATAAGGGAAAGGTAAGTCCAGAAGGTCCCCAAACTGCACTGATTAATAAACATTACAGTCTATTGGTTGGCATATAAACATATGCTGTGTTTTTCTGTCCAGATCTCCAGAATGCTGGCAGCTAAAGCTTCCCTGGCCATTCGCTATGACGCCCTGGGAGAAGACACAAACGCAGAGATGGGAACAGAGAACCGAGCCAAGCTGGAGGCCAGGCTGCGACAGCTGGAGGAGAAAGGAGTAAGTCAATCTAAAATTGGTCATAAATGCATACACATTTTGAATAACAATGTATACTAAATGTTTCACATATTTTCCCAGATGTTCTACTTTCATTCTTGCCGTGCCACTTAAATAAGTAACCATTTGTGTCTTTTCTTCTCAGATCCGAAGGATTAGTGGAACAGGCAAAGGAATGGCAAAGGCAGACAAATACCAGCACAAGAGGTAAATAATCCAAAGTTTTCTTTAGAAAAGATTATATTTTTCCAATGAAAAGTGTTAAATATCCCTTTTTTGTTGTCTCAGTGAAGTGAGAATGTACGATCCATCTGGCGACTCAACTATTCCCTCCACATCAAAGAAGAGGAAGTTTGAAGAGGTGGAGGAGGAGGAGCCTGAAGCGCCCGTAACTCCGGCGGTTAAATCCAAGAAGGCCAAAAAGGAGGCAGTAGTAGAAGGTGGGTGGAACAGGAATGAACCTTATCTTGTGATTTAGTCTCAAAATATTGTTTATGATGCTCAATATCTTTTCTGTTTGGTAGAAGAAGAAGCAGAAACGTCAGCAGCAGCAGAAGAGACGCCCAAGAAAAAGAAGAAGAAAAAGGACAAGAAAGAAGAGGAACCTGAAGCGCCGGAACCAGTAGAGGAAGAAATGGCCGTAACGGAGGTAAGAGACATTTGGACATTTGAAATGCAGACTATTCATTAGAGGTTTGATGTGTTCCAGTGTTTGACTCTGTTCTTCTCTCTCCAGTCGACAAAAAAGAAGAAGAAGAAAAAGAAGGCAAAGGATGAAGATGATGAGTGAAACAAGTGGAGAGTGTATATATTTTCTTTCTTAGGTTTTATGTCATTTTAGTTTTGTGTCATACATTTATTTTCACAAGGGCAAAACTGTAAAGTGCCTATTTCTGGACATGAGAAGAGTTCCTGTTGAAGAATCCTTGGATCTCCCTTTTATATCTGACTAGGATATGATATGAAATCACAGTTTATTTAACAATATCCAATACGATTCTAATCCTCTATCCTTTATGGTTTTATGTTTTTTATTTGTCACACATCGGTATCAGAACCAGTGCAGAGCAACGAGTGGATGAAAGATTCTCCCATTCCATTGTAGATAGATATTTTTGTCTGAACCTCTGCCTGCCCTGCTGAAATAAACATTTTTTTGCTCAAATTGTGTGTGTATAATGTCGTGGTATGAATATAAAAACATAATTTAGATTATTCATTGGCAAAAGTAAACTGCAGTACGTGATTTAAGTTTATATCCAATTTTGTAATTTCCCTTATAGAATTACTACTTAAGAAATAATCTGGTCTCCCTTTTGCAAATGAAAGCTTGTAAGCAGGACCCTAGTTTACTTCAAACACTAGGATGTATTCACCTCAGCTATTCTGGTATTACCAGGAGCTAATTGTGGTTTATGGAGCTGGCAGTTGGAAGGCTGATTTAAGCATGCCACAATTAGAAATTAATTTGCATAGAATGGCTAACTTAATGGACAAAAGTGGAAATACAACATATATGATATAGGGGTACGACTTTACAATAAGACTACCCTTATAAAGGAGTCATAAAGGGTTTATAATTAGGTTGTAAACACTTTATTAATCATTAAGAACCAGTTCTAACATAGGTTTCATAAATCAACACAGGCTCACTATTTGGCAAGAGGACTAAGCCTTTCCTTATATTGGCTACTAGTGAGAATCAACTCAGTGAGCAACAGATACCAAGGATGCTGGCTGATGAAGAAGATGAAGTAAGCTAGGTAGCCAATATAAGACTTAGCAGTACAGATAAATGTGGGCTCACTATTTGGCAAGCAACCGGTCACAGTTGCCCTGTTTATCTCATGTCTTATAAAAGCTTATTAATGATTTATAAAGTGTTCACAACCTAATTAATAAATGAATTACAAACTATTCGTAAACCCTTTATAAGGGTAGTCTTATTGTAAAGTGATACCCAAAAACTGGTGGTTTGGAATAATGTCAGGTTTTGTCAAACTATAAGAAGAAAAAAACGTGTATGCACAATTTCCTGCACCCCACCACTGGTTCTCATGGCCTTACTCCCATTTCAACTTGTCTATTGTATTGCACAAAATATACCTACCATCCTTTTCTTCATCATATCCGCCTCCCTTTAACAATTCACCATTCAAGTTCCTGCTCTATAATACTAATATAAAAATAATTAACACTCACTGGATCCATTTTATTTAGAGCCAGATTGTTTTACTTTTGAAATAAATGTTGCTAATAAAACAAGTACTTCACATTTTCTATGCAGGACATACATTTATAATAAATATGTTTTTTGATATTATATGTGTATCCTGGAGTCTTGCTGGTTTGGTTGCGCGTTTCCACTACACGGCCTCGCGAGTCGCTCGGCCTCGCTCGGTATGGCCTTGTTAGGACCGGCTCACTTTATGGCACGTTTCCATTACAGATTGACAAACATCATATGTGTAATTCGTGGCACAATTCAAACGGGATCGAAGACTTGCTACTCTTCATGGCTTATGAGTTTCCACGTGGGGTTTTCCACCATCTTCTCTGACTTTTCTTGTTGTCTTAAAAAAAACGTAAAATTAAACATTGCATATGAACATATAGATAACACGCTGGATGATGCTGGGTCAGCAAAACTACCCCAACAAAAGCACTTACTACAATTGGAACAAAGTTAGTGTTTTTGTAAAGGTTATCATAATGACCAAATCTGAACTCTGAAGACTGAAATGATATTGTATGTGATGGAATCAGATACAAATAGATGCAACAAATTGTGAGCATTTGAGAAACAATATTTCTGTTGAATTCCTCACAACCAAGACAACCCCAAAGAGAAGCACTTATGAAGAAAACAATACATTAGTGTTTTGCTTTAGGGTAATCTGAATGAGATTTCAATGACATGTTTAGTTATAGTCTGTAGCATTTGTCCTCTTCAACCGCCCCAACAGGAAGCACTTGCTGAATTCAATTGCAAACCAATCCTCAAGTTGGGCCAATATCAAAGACTTTCAATTTCCTACAGTAAAGGCATCTTCCATCATGATTTTACCGTTTTCCAAGGGGTTCCTTTCCAACATCTCCTTTGCGGTGTCTCAGTGGAAGTGTTGTTTCTTGCAAAGATGTACCCTTCTTAAGTACTGAATGCAGACATTTCCAGCCAACCCCGCCTCAGTTTTGATTGCTTTCAACGACCATTGTAAGTAAACACCCGCACTCTCAACCATCACCTGATATGAACGGACTGCTATCACCTAACAAGTGGTCAATCAGAGTTGTTGATGTTTCTCGTTGCAACTCTGGCAGCAGCAGTAATACTTAAACAATGCTAAGAAGCTCAGGCAATGAATATCCACTTCAGAAGGCACATTCAGCTTAAGTCTCCAAATCAAATATTGAGATAATGTGTATCACTGCATGTCAATAATATGCAATCTACAGGTAACTTCTGAAGTAATATAGAACAGAATAATGACTCATTTTGAAGTTGGGAGGTGACTGCATTCTGTCCATACTCAAAGACATAGACGATAGTTGAAATGTGCATATCTTACTAAAGTTGACTGCTAATGTACAACTAACACACTGGGAGAAATAAAGGTCAACAAAACTACCCCAACAAGTAGCACTTACTGCATTACACTCAAGTCAGTGCCTGTGTTTGGGTAATGTTGGTGACAAATACATGCAATAAATGGTGAGCATTTGAGAAACAATATTTCTGTTGAATTCCTCACAACCAAGACAACCCCAAAGAGAAGCACTTATGAAGACAAAAATCATTAGTGTTTTGCTTTAGGGTAATCTGATTGAGATTTCAATGACATATAATACTTCCTTTACAGTCTGTAGCATTTGTCATGTTCAACCGCCCCAACGAGAAGCACTTATTGGATTCAGACTCAGACCAATGCTCAAGTTGGTTCAATATCAAAGACTTGCTACTCTTCATGGCTTATGAGTTTCCACGTGGGGTTTTCCACCATCTTCTCTGACTTTTATTTTTGTCTTCTAATATATGACGTAAAAATAAAGTGTGCATATGAACATATAGATAACACATTGGATGATGCTGGGTCAGCAAAACTGCCCCAACAAAAGCACTTACTGCAATGTAAACAAAGTTAGTGTTTTTGTAAAGGTAATAATAAGGACCAAATCTGAACTCTGATGACATAAATGATATTGTATGTGATGGAATCAGATACAAATAGATTGAACAAATTGTGAGCATTTGAGAAACAATATTTCTGTTGAATTCCTCACAACCAAGACAACCCCAAAGAGAAGCACTTATGAAGAAAACAATACATTAGTGTTTTGCTTTAGGGTAATCTGAATGAGATTTCAATTACATGTTTAGTTATAGTCTGTAGCATTTGTCCTCTTCCACCACCCCAACAGGAAGCACTTGCTGAATTCAATTGCAAACCAATGCTCAAGTTGGGCCAATATCAAAGACTTTCAATTTCCTACAGTAAAGGCATCTTCCATCATGATTTTACCGTTTTCCAAGGGGTTCCTTTCCAACA